AGGAGGAAGAGGAGGAGGAGGGAGAGGAGGAGGAGGAAGAGGAGGAGAAGAGGAGGAGGAGGGAGAGGAGGAGGAGGAGGAAAGCCTATGAGTTGCAGCTTAGAGGCAGAAGAGACAAGAAGAACTGAGAAGAGCCAGGACGCCAGCATGAACTTTGAAATGTATAACAGGTACTCATGCTACTGAAGGAGCCTAGAGGCCAGCATCTCCTTCAGTGTGCTATAGACACCATCAATAGCCACTTATCCCTTCTGCCAATGATAAAGGAAACTGGCTCCTCTTGATAGAAGAGACTGGCTTCCCAAGTTCCTGAGAACTGCTGACTTTTGTCTAACAGTAAGAATTTGAGAAAATGGAGTTTCCCTTGGCTCTGATAATATCAAGTAAAAATAGCTTTTCTGAAGGATACATACAAGGAGAGAGAGAAGAAACTTCCAAACTATCAGAGGTAGCCTCTCCTGGGAGGGGAGGTGTGGAGAGCTATACATCTCTTCTTTACCATTTTAGTCTCACAGTAGATACTACTCTTCTAATTAAATAAGGAAGAGGTGCCCCTGGTGGGCTGTGGTGGGTGGAGCATGTGATCCAGGGGGCCCACTAGGACCCCTTTTGGGCAGAGGGTGTTAATCAATGCTCAATTCTAAGTAGCTGGAGTGTAGAGAGCCCCTGGAGCTTGAACTGTGCCGCCCCTTAAATGCTCAAGTCCTCAAGGCCATGGTTACTCTTCTAGAACAGTTCTGCAGTGGTACCTCCCGCATCTAATGTTTATCCCCCTATCTGCTGGAGAACTTGCTTAAATGAGGACTCTGGTTCAAGATGCCTGGGGTGGGGTCTGCATCCTCAGCACACTGGTAGATGTCAGAGATGCTGTTCATCCAAGGCCCTACTGGAGCCCATACCTAGAGAGTCAGGTTTGGCAGGTTGGGAGAGGCTTGTTGACCTGCATTCTGTGTCCCAGGTAATGTAGGTTCTGCTCTACAGACCTCACAATTCTAAGAGACTGGAACTTTTGCTCACAGCCAGAGTTAATAATACAGCCTATAGTCAATTGAGACTGCTATCCTACTGTGCACTCAAACTATTGGTTTAACCTGCTTTTAAAAGAACAATGTAACAACCAAGCTTTCTTGCTTAGATTTCACCTGCAATCAACTTTTACAACTTAAGGCAATGCATAGCTGTCATCTTAAATCATGTCATCTTAAATCCACACCCCTGACCCAGATAATACATGTGTATCATTTACTTAGAGCAGCAAATACAGAAATTGAAAGCAGCATCCTAAAATCTACCTAAAGGTTGAAAGTGGTCATTCATTGGTTGGTAAACAATGATGTTTGTTACCTGATGAGTAGGAAGCCATTGCAGCCAGTGACTCAACCTCTTGTAAAACTCTGTTAAAGATCTCTGTAAAGTATCCCATTCCTTCCCCCCATGTGATGCTCTCTGTGCTGTTCAATAAAGGCAGGGCAAAACCCTTTGTGAAAGATAGACCACTTACACATAGCTCATATGACAGACAGACACACACACAGATATAGTGACAAACAGATTCACCAGACAGCCTTTAGGCAGTCACAGATTCAGTCAGACTCATACAACAGACAGACAGACAGACAGACAGACAGACAGACAGACAGACAGACAGAGGGAGTAGAGAATTCAAATCTAGACTCACTCTGTGTTCAAGGGGAAGTGCTTTGCTTTCCTTCCTCATTGAGACACATACAATATTGGTGATACAGTCACTAATACATATAATCCAAGTAAAACTGGTATCCCTTCTTGGAATTTAGTTTAGGCTCCACCTGGCAACAGCCAAGTGTGCCTGATTCACTATAAAGGGGGCTGTTTGCTCCATTCTCTCCTCTCTCTCTGTCTCTCTCTCTGTCTCTCTCTCTCTCTCCTCTCTCCCCTCCTCCCTGCCTTTCTCTGTCTCTACTCCCTCAACTTTCTTCCTCATGCCCTAAATAAACTTTTCTATACTATAGAAGTATATATATGAATATATATATATATATATTCATATCCATCCTGTGGCTGGTCCCTCAGGGGGAAGGGATGTCTCAGCATGGGCCTGCAAAGGCATTCCCTATCCCCACACCATACCATGCCTCCACCAAACATATCTCTGACTTCTTTCTGTTCATAAAACACAACATTCCTTGTACCTCGTTCTTCAAAAAGTAGTTTAAGAACCAGCAGGTATCATCTAGAGGCTTGCCAGAAATGCAGGTGACTAGACCCCACCTTCAGGATCAGAACCTGCACTGTGACAGGACACTTGGGTGATGTGTGTGATACTGCTTGGGATTCTCTAATCTAGAAGATCCTCCCAACAAAACCTAGCGAGCCTTTTCAGAAAATCATTCAACCGAAACAGTCAGGTGCCCTACCCTTCCCAGCCCTTGGTCATTGAACCAATGAACTTTCTTCCTGGCAAGTTAGTTACTTCCTCCTTTTCCCCGTGACCCGTGGCTCACAGTCAGAGTCATGATTGGGTGGCTGATTACCTGGTCCCGAGAGACCTTTTTTGCTGTCTGTTCACAGCCTTGAGCACTTGCTGATCATGTCCTGCAGGATGAAAACAACCCCATTGCCATGGAGCAAACTTGGGATTCTTACATCAATTCCTTAAATCAGAACTCCTTGCCCAGACAAGTGGAAGTGACCGAGGGAAACTATTCAGGTAGGAGAGAGAGGGATGGTATCTAAAGGGACCAGGAGAAACATAATCCACCAAATTCCAAGGAAATGTGGTCTCAAGACTTCAGGAATGGGAGTTGGCGAAGGGAGTCATGTTCTATCTAGATTTCGTTGGGAGACACTAGGCTAAGGAGAATCAGGTATTTTTCTACCAGAATCATCTGCCTGTTAAAAAGAAAAATAACAACTGCACTTATTTCTTTTTAACATACCACAACTTAAACAGGACAAGAAACCGCTTTCCCAAGAAGATAGAGCATTGGAAAAGAGAGAGAAAAAAATGTTCTGTTTATGGGAGACATATATTCACTTTGCTAAAGTATTTTCCTTAGCTATGGGTAGAATGAAATATACTGCCTAGCAATGCTCCTTGCTATATGTTGGCATATTTCTGCTGTTTAAAGGGTTTACTTACTTATTTATTTACTTATCTATTTATTTATTTATTTTAATTTGACTGAAGTCTGGGAAAGAAAGGAGCTATTCACCAATATTGCCTAGGAAGAGGGAAAATGTTATTTTTGAGCGGTGAATATCTTTGACTCTGCTGAGAAATTACAGCAATTTGACACAGGAAGTCTAAGGTGTGGATACATGTGAACTTGAAAAATTGCCTTTTGTTGGTTTGATGATAACAAAAAACCCATGTCAATGCTCTAGGGGGTTTCCCATGGTTGGTGAGGAGTCCACCTGGGCACCCAGAGGGCCATCTACCACTTAGCCAGCATCGTGAGAACACAGAAAACAGGGTTCACTGCTGGAAATGACAAAGGTGGCTGTACTGTCCACCGGGCAAAACAAATTATGATGGCTACTTCTGGAAAAAAAGAATTATTTTAGATATTTTTAACTTTAAAGTGAATTGCATATAGTGACATACTAAAGAGTCTACCTCCATAAAAGATGCTGAACTGTTCAATTATCGATCTTGGTCATTTTTCTGTGCTCATTAAGAGACCTCTATTTGTCTCGTGTCATATTTAACAAATTTTACTTCAATTTTTTTTTTTTACTTAAAGCTTTCATTTACCTAGAGAAATACTAGCTACAAATCTCTGGCTGTAACCTCAACCTTTGAAGTTTTTTTTTTTCCCATGGGAACTATTGTCTTTCAGGGTCACTTGAAAACCTGTCATTCTCCAAAGGGGATCTCATCACGGTGGTTGACCTCGAGCCAATTCACATCAGAGCAGAAGTGAAGAGTGGTGAGCAAGTTCTGGACGTGGTCAATATACCTCTTGGATATGAAGGTATAGGGTACAAAATGTTCCCTTTTTTGGTCTTGTGATTCTTCAGAGAACACATGGAAGGTCATTTTGGTCTTGATTTGTCAGGTGTCAGAAAAGTAAGCCAGGTTGTCAGCTGGACATTGGTGAATGAGGAAGCAGTAAGAAGTGGGAGTTTGCCAGATGCAGACCAGCAAAGCCAACTGCACAACCCTGTGCCTGGAGCATGGTTCTCCTGATGGTGTTTACACCAGCCTGCAAAGCTCTTTACCTGAGCTCTTGCTGTGACCTCAACTCCATGTCTGATGGAGATAGGTGTGAGGAAATCCTGGCTTTTCTCTCTTGTGCTGGATCTGGTTGTTAAGTTTTCCTATGCAAGAGTAAAGGCCAGTTTTAGAAACTGTGGAGAAGACCGCAAAGCCACAGACATGGTTGGTGTACCTCAATTGTGGGGCTGTTTTGTTTTGGCTTTGAGACAGAAAAAGGAATATAGATACTCCTCTCATAATTTAAAGAGAGTATATAAAATAAACAAACCACAGCATGAATGACTCTCATGTCTACAGTGGGGCCAGTTAGGGAACAGTATCAAAGAGGGGAAAGACGGTGAGCAGAAGGGTACAGGGCATCATACCCATGCAAGTAGAGAAAGAATAAGGCAGAGCCTCAAGCAAGAATGGTCGAATTTTAGGTACAGATGAATGGGGAGCTTCTGTGTGGGCATCAAAGCTCAGAGCACAGATACAGTGACTATCACATCCAACACTGAGAAGGGGGTGATTCTCTCTGCTGGTGCTTTGGGGATGCTAAGGCCCTTGATGGACACTCTCTGACCTTGAAATCAGGGAGGATCCACAGTAGGTGCCAAGGCTGGTGTCAGAGCAGACGGTGCTGACCTCTGAGCAAATGCTCCAAGGACGTGTATGATGGCTTCTTTATCTGTCGAATATTAGAAGACAGGGATAGAAAGATGGCTCAGGGGTTAAGAGGCTGCTCTGGCTGCTCTTGGGTCAGAGGCTCCGTTCCCAGCTCTCACGATGTGACTCACAACCATCTGTAATTCTAGTTCCAGGGCATCCATCCAGTGCCCTCTTCTGTCCTCCCTGGACACTACACAGCATGTGGTGCATAGACATACATGCAGGCAAAACACCCATACACATAAAATAATAAAACACATCTTTCTAAAACATTTATCAAAAAAAAAAAAAGTTAGAATGCTTTGATGCTAAGGTCTTTTTCCCCAGTTGGTTCTTGATTTGTCAGTAAAGAAAGCTGGGGATGGGTGAGGTTGGCTAATTGCTGGGTGGAAGGTACAGGCAGGACTTAGAGGTCCCAGGAGGAAAGGGAAGTCAAGGAAGGAGAGGGAGGTTTTTTCTGCTATGCTTTGGAGGAAGAACAACAACCATGTGAGGTCTCTGGGTGAGTTAGGGCCTCTGCTACAGGAGCGTGGCCAAGGATGTTTGGCAGAGCCTCGGTGGGACTAGCCACTGAAGTTTAGGGCAAGTGGAGACACAGAGATAATAAATTGGTAAGGGTACGCTTTTCCAGGAGGAAAATATAAGCACCCAGCAATTGGGCCTAGAAGGCAAGTTGTAAAGGAACAAATGTGCATGCGCGCGCGTGTGTGTGTGTGTGTGTGTGTGTGTGTGTGTGTGTGTCTGTGTGTGTGTATCTTTTATCCTTGGATTCAAAGGTCTCGAGAGGGAGCTGGTAGCATGATCACCTCCCAGAGCAAAGGCAAGTAGAGCAAAAGGAAAGCTGGGAGGGGCTATACTACACCAACAATGCTTAAACAGCAGATGCAGCAGCATACTATATAGGTAAAGGAAACTGTAGTAGCAGCAAGATCCTGCCAGCAGCTTCTCCCTTCTAAGGTGCTCCCATAGGCCCAGGTGCTCCCACCTCTGGTTATGGGAACACACTTTCCAACTCTCCTAGAACACAAGTGAAGATGTTGAAGTATGAATTTCCTGGAAAAAAAGGAACAAAAATGTCAGTTTTGTTATTTAGGGTTCTGGGCAAGCATTTCTGGGATCTGGATTAACTTGGAAGGAAGAAGGCTTCTGGAGTGTTCCCCAGAGCCCACATTCTGTGGCTGTGTTTACTGATGCCGTCCAAGTTATCAGTCTGATCCGATGTACAAGGCACAATCCCTGTCTTTCTCTTTTCTGCAAGCCCTTCTTCCCAGCTGAGGAATAAAATGTTCTTACTTAAAATTAATTCTTTTAGCTTAAGTGTGAGCCATGGGAGGGGGTGGTGATTAGCTCCACCAGCTCCAGCAACCTGAATCTCTGGACAGGCTTTGTGATGTAGCTTCAGCTGGCAGATGATTGGATATCCTCTCCCCTTCCCCTCCCCCCTCCCACTCCCCCAGCAGCAGGCCTGCCCAGAACCCAATTCCCCTGCTTGCCCTCTCCACTACCGCTGTGCACTGTGCTCCAGTCTCCCAGGAAACAGGAACAGAAACTATCCTAACACACAAGACTCTGTATGAACAACCAGAAGACAAACCTCCTGGCTCGGGTGTGTGGACTTTGCCCCTGCCACTCAGATTCAGAGACCTGCCGCTCCGATATCAGAGATATCGGAGTGCCGATATCAGAGATATCGGAGTGACGTGGAACCTGCTGAGCTATTAAGGCCTTATCAGAAGGCAGTGGTAACACTCTCTCTGCAGACTATGGTGTCAGACTGGTGAACAAGGAGAGAGTGAAATGATACTTAGGGGCTGGGCGGAGGCACATCGACAAAGGAGGCTGTCCTGGAGCTATCCCAGTTTGGCTGGTGAGGGCCACAGCTGGAGAGCAGGATGGAGGTGCATGCTTGCTTCTGTTGCACCTTCTGCTTGCTGGCAGGTGGGGGACATGGCTAACCTTCCAAGGTCTCTGCCTAACAATCTGTGACTACTTAGCCAACTCACCAAGCCACTAATGGGCACACAGTGATTTAATATTACCAGGGGCAGTGTTCTGAGTGCCAGTCAGGATGATACTCCGTGGTGACAACTCCACCAAGTAGCACTTAGGGATGAAACAGCAGTCATACCTGCTGCTCTAACGTGGACCTGTTTCAGATTTCAGTGCAAAAAGTGGTAAGCGAGCAGAGGGCAGCCTTGGGAAAGGCCAGGCAGAGCTGGACACCTGGGGGGTAGGGGTTGCTTCCTTGTCTGCATTTATTCCCTGATTAGCATTCTAACATGCCTCTCTGTTAAGGGTGGCCCAGGGGGTCAGATTAATCAAAGTGGAGAACATTCCTCTTTAAATTGCAATCACAAGCATTATCTGTGTTTTGATATTAATCAATCACCATTGACTACCCTTACTATTTTTGCAGCATTTTGGAGAATGGAACAAACACAATTTCAGGGCCTTACAGGTCAGTAGCTCCATGCTACAAGGCAGAAATGATCTCACGTTGAGATGAAGGGAGGAAAAAGTGCTGGCTGTGTGGTGGGTATTAAAATCGAGCAGGCAGTTTCTGAATAATGCAACATGTGATTTATGACTCTGAGCTAAAAGCTGGTGTAAATTTCTTAGTAAATGTCCCTACCACAGGAGTGACCCAGGTCACACCTGCATCTGGAGATTTCCTAAGGAATACTTGTTAGCACAGCGTGGCCCTTCTGCTTACTGAGTATAACAGAGGTGGGTGTAGTGGACCACTATGTTCATTCAGTACACAGCATCTGTGTGTGCACTGCAGAGGTGTCCTCAGTGTTCACTTCCTAGTTTCAATGTGTAGCAATTTTCCTTAACATAACAGAAAACCTATACAGTTAAAACCTACACTCGTGTCTGTTATGTTGGTGCCTACCAGTAGGATATGCCAAAGAAGACAGAAGGATCATGAGTTTGAGGTCAGAGAAATGGCCCAGTGGTTAAGAATACTTGCTACTCTTCCAGGGTACCCGAGTTCAGTTCCAAGGATCCACTTTGGGTGGCTTACAATCACCTGTAACTCCAGCTCTAGGGAATCTGAGTCTTTCTTACGGCCTCTTCGGGCACCTTTGCACACATACACATAACAACTTCTACTACAACAACAACAAAAACACTGTCACATTCTGAGCAAAAGGAATAATGCAATCAAAGAAAGGAAGATTTAAACGCCATCTAACACAAGACTTCCTAAGGGCCACAGAACATGGCCCTTACATAAAGAGGAAAATCTTTAGCTACTCAAATACCTTCTCTATAAAATGGCACATTTATCATATAAATCTATATGTATCCTTCCCATCTATCTTAAATCATTTCTAGATTATTTATAATGTCTAGCAGAATATATATATTATGTAAGTAGCTAATCTGGACAAGTTGAGTACTGATTTGTTTCTTTGTTTGTTTGTTTGTTGAACAGTCTAATTATGTAGTCCAGGTTGGCCTTGACCTCACTATCCTCCTGCCTCACCCTCCTAAATCGTTTTTCCCCAAATGTTTTTGACCACAAATGGTTCTGTCTGAAGTACAGAACCTGCAGGTAAGGAGGGCCAGCCATTTTGTTAGCATCTTTTATGCTTATTGCTCTGTGAGCTGAGCAAGGCAGTTACTAGGTATCTATAAGATGTAGTGTGGAAAAGTGATAAAATTTAATTTTAAACAGTAGTCTGAGCCTCAGAAAGGTTCGATTATGAATGCCAAACCTTGTCATTGTGTCCTCAAGGGTGGAAATTCTGACAGGGAGGAAGACAGGCACATAAAAACACAGTGCACACAGCATCCAGACACAATCCCAGACTCTTAATAGTTCCCTCTACTTTCTGTAGTTTTCTCCAGAAGCCAGTTTCCCAGCCCCAGACCTCAGACCCTGCAGATTCTGGAAGCCCAATACCAAAGGTCTCTGTGTCCAGTTCTGTGGGGAAAATTTTAAAAAGGCCGCCCTGGCGGGTCCCACATCAGGGAAAAAGATCCTACGGTTCCAGCGGCCTGAGGGCCTTGGCGGCGGCAGGCCCCAGTAACACGAGGAAGTCCTTGGTTCCAAAAAGGTTTATTGTCATGACGGATAATAGATAGATCTAGGCG